GCTTGACCAAAACTGGACGATAACTCTGCTCACAGGACGCTGCCAGGGGTAAGTCAGTGTGATTGCATGCCGCTGGTGATGGGGATGCCATACAGATTCATGTCAAAAATACCGAACTATCCCTTTAATGAGTCACTTAACGGTTCCAGGTAGCACCAGAGCCTATGGCTCTGAGCAGCACGACTTGCGTCATGTTTTTTTTACACAAGTTACACACCCGTCATTTAGTAATCGCGTACAACGTGACCAGGCGTAAGTCTAGAAAAGCAAAACAAAAACAAAAAAATAATAATATGGCATCCCATTGGGTAAACCAATCAAAAGTTTGGATGTAAAGTGACAATAACATCCGCGGGAGGAAATCCATCCAACATGCAGAAACACCTGCGCACACAACATGACATACATTTTAACGAATGCCGTGTTTTTGATGCTTCCGGACAGTAGCTTAAGTTACGACCAGCATGGAAGGCAACTCTGGTGGGAAGTAGCTAGTTTTATATCACTGGCTGTGCTTCATGTGGTTCCTAGTAAATCAAAGCCATTCCCGGAAATCAACCAATGTCTTACCTCTCCCTGGGGTTATTAAACATGCTACGAAGTTGCAAGAGAAAGGTGATGCTCATTTATTCAAAGCAGGGGAAGAAGCGTTTATTTCCCAAAATTGTACAGTAATGCTTTATTATTAAACGGATGCCTTCTCCATTAGATTTAGATGACTGTGATGAGACGGGTTGGCTGGCTCAGGCTGGCAGCTCCCGTTCACTTGCCTTCTGTTTTCGCAGAGGCAGGCAGAAACAGAATGTCCCAGGTTTCACAGAATCGATATGAGAATCGAACCGTTTCACAGAATCGATAAGGGAATTGGAATCGTGAAAATCGTATCAATTCCCAACCCCAGTAAATAGTGTCAAAGAAAAAAAAACTTTATTAAAGAATGACTGATGACAAATCTGTGAGCCAACTGTTCTAGCTGTAATGGAAAATCCTTGCAGATGTGTAGCAGGTGTTGTAGCTGTTTCTGTCACCTCTGTGACCTCACCCACATAATCCTGCTGAAGGCAGGACTCAGATATGTGTCACATTAAGGACACTTTTCCCTTCAGCCAGCTTATATACAGGGAGCACTGAGTTTATAACCTAATAGTGAGTAATGGAAGGAAAATGTAGTTTGAAGGCAGACTGCAGTGAGGGCAGCAGCGCTGTGTGTGTCGGTGGGGAGGAGGCATCACTATGGGCAACGTTCCGCCTACATCTCAGAGCCAAAAATCAAAGTCTAGAAACAAGCTCGGAGTCTAAAAGTTGCGGTAAACCTCAGAGAGGAGCCGCACCGGCTGCTGAGTGGACTTCCTCCGTCCTTTCCGGAGAGGTGAGAGTGGGGGGGCGCTGAGAAACACATCCTCTCCCCCCCTCTCTCTCCCTCTAACGTTTCCCCCTTCTCGTCACCGACGTAACAACATGTCGGCAGAGACGGCCATGTTTTGCTGGTTATGTCGACACGGGGGAGGAGGAAAAGTAGACACGATGTTTCTCCTCTCTGCCTGCTGCTTCCACAGCCGCAGCATATCCTGATGAAACTCTCACACCGGGCGTGAAAATGTCCACTTAACTTCGGTGTTGTGCCCCCCTCCCTTCCCCCGAACGCAGGTGTTAACGGCAGAGCCACGCAAAGTTCACGCGGGGAGACAAGTTAAAGTGTTTACACGGAGGCGTGGGGACGTCACGAAGCCCATAGAGGGGCGTTAAAAACAAACAACTCCACCTAGGTTTATCTTGAGGGAGTTTTGGGAAGCAGAGCCCCCCCGGAGTGTCGGTAGAAACGCGCAGGAAGAGTTTAGCTGCTTTCCTTACCTGCCCACCGCTTGTTGACGCGACGTTCAGGTACCGCGATGCTGGAGCAGCAAACACGCCGACTGGCTCTGACGAGACAACAGGCGACGGGGAAAGGAAAAAAAAAAAAATTGGCGATCACAAGGAGGATCTACGCCAAAAGCCACATGATCGCCGACGTCAGAGGACGTATTTGCATGTCGTACCGGAGCGCCGGTGTCCGTCCAGAGCGGCTCCATGCTGAAAAGTTTGGCCGCCGGCGAAGAAAAAGTGGAAAACTCTCCTTCCCGATAGCAGGAGGGAACCTGAAGTATCATCCAGACATGTCCGCTGCTCTGAAAATGAATGAACTGCGGGTTGTTGCTGTCAAATTGCCCCTTGATGATGTCCTCTGCTCCGAGCTCATTGAATATTACACCCCCCGCCCCCTCCTGTCTGTGACCACGCCCACCAGCCCCATCCCTCACAGCAGAGCTGCTGCAGTGCTCTCCTCTCTGAGCTGGAGGCGGGCTCTTCCAGCATGCAGCAGGGGAAGCCCGCAGTCAGCTCTTCAAAGTTAAAAACACTGAATCTAAAGGCTTGGTGTGAGATTAAATAATCAGTGGCGGAGCTAGATGGGGGGCCAGGGGTGGCCATGGCCACGCTTACCAAATCTGTGGCCACCCCTACCATTTTTTCCCTTTAATACAGATGGTGGCAGCAGTAATACTCTCTAGAGGAAGTGAGACCATTAAGATCAGTTATATGTTCAGATTCGAGTTCAGCTTTAATCAGTATACAAAAATCATATTTCGGAATGATGAAATATATTTATTTGGGTGCCAGCACATATAGGGATTAAAAGAAATGAAATTACAAACAAGATTGCTAAGGAATCATCTCTAAATAAAACAGCTGATATGATGATTAACTTAAGTAAGAGAGAAATGAAAAGTATCATTAAACAAAGGATGAAGGAAAGGTGGCAAAAACAATGGGAGGAAGAAAGGAGAGGAAGGTGGTTTTATAGCAGATTTGGACATACAGGATTAAAAAATACACTATTCAAAATAGGGAAACATATGGCAGGCAAATGTGAATATTGTGGACAAGACGAAACAGTAAAATATGTAGTGTTGGATTGTAAGGACTATGAAGAAGAAAGAAAGAATTTGGTTAGAGACCTAAATAGGAAGAAAGGTACATTTGATTTGATAGATATTCTGCCGAAAAAGTCAAAAATATGTTATCAATATTCATTTAACTATTTAATAATAACACAAATAATTAGGAAGATTTAGTATTTGTAAAGTAATATTATAGATATAGATGGATATGGATAAATAAATATAAGTATCTTTATGAATAGCCATTTATGAAAAGTCTTCAGTGAAATCATAGATAAATAACAATTTCAATAAAAACTTATAAAAATAATTAATTTATGTAGATTTTAGTGCTTGTAAATATCAATTTTAAGCAGAATGTTTATTGATACAAGTAGGTAAGTAATGACGACGGGAAAGATTTACGCCCCAAATCTCAAAACTGAAAGAATTTTATCCACTTATACCTTTTATTAAGAAAGCACAGATTTTTAAATATATGCGTCTATTTGCTGGCAAAGGCTGTAGGAAAGTATAGTCTCTCTTTATTTAGAAAAATTGAGGTTCTGCTCGTTATTTTTCCAATTGGAACAGTATAGATTGACCCAGAGGTTCTGGCACCTATCCACTTCCAGCCACCCCTCAGTGTACCTTGGTTATTAGCTGGCCACCCTTATAAAAAGTTCTGGCTACGCCTCTGCAGATAATAACTTAGAAAGTGTAATACGAGGTCAACCAGAGCTGACGTCTTCTGGATTGGTTAAAAAAAATGCTGACCTTGGGTCAATCATGGATTACTCTCCTAAAAATACATAAAAGATTGACTTTTATTATTTGCAAATCATAAATCAAAAAACAGAACCAAAACAACAAGCTGATGAATAAGATTTCAAATCCACAAACACTTTAGATTGTTATCATTTTTGTTCAGACTGGTCTAGAATTACAGTTCAGGTCGCATGTCCCTGAAAGTTGTCTTCTAAAAAGATCAATAAGAGTTTTTCTTCATACACATTTTTGAGTTATCTTGTATTGGGGACAGAAGCTCACTTGTAACATTTATGGGAAAAAACAAACATCAGGTTTTTTTTACTTTGGTGGTGATGGTAGTGATAGTGGTTGGCCTCATACCCTCTTAGATAATCAGTGATTATTTACTGGGGTAAAACTTCTTACAGGAATAATAAAGAAACAAAAACAATCAAATAGTGCAATCATCTGGCTGACATTATTTCTTATAAATGTAATGTAATGTGTAAAAAAAATACTCTGCACCTAATGATCTAATCACAATTCTAGAAGGGGGATACCTCAAGGCTTAATCATAGGCCCATCACTTTTAGCTGATATTTAAAATATTTACCTAAAAACTTTAGAAATGGTAACTTCCAAATGTATACGGGTAGCACACTCCTACTTTTGCAGGAAATGTCTAATTAATCACAAGAGCTTGTTAATAATAAGAAGACTAAATGCTGAAACTGAATTAAAATGTGTTTCTTCATAGTGTTGGTGTGTACACCTATTTACCCAGATGATTGGACACATTTCTTTCAATTCAAACAAATATTTCTATTTTCCATTAGAATTGTAAAGAGTTAAGGGTACATTATACATGGAAAAAATATTTCCCCATTGCATTTTAAAGACCAGTAATTTTATCATTGTATCTTCTAACACCACACCATAGAGATGTGGTTTAAAAGCTTTAAGAATTACAATCTACCACTAAAGGATGCTTAAATATATTGAGGTTTGAGCACCTCTCAGTTGAATTGTGCGTTGTAAAGAGTTTTTTAATCAACTGATAACCTGCAAGGGAAAAATACCTGCAGACTTTATTTACTAGTTACACAATGGATATGGGGGGAATGCTTAAAAGTACATAAATATAGAATATTTAATTTAGGAAGCACTTTGTTTAAGACCAACAGTGTTCTCAAAAGTTTAGATCAATGTTCCTTAATGCTGTTCCACTGAAATAAAAATGTTTAAGGGACACTAGGAGGATGATTACGACTTACTGGAATAAATGTTGAGCTTACAATCAAACCAAGGTTAAATATGGCTGCAAAAAATAATAATGGAATATATAGTTTTGACCTCTGACCCAGAAAGTCCTTACATAAATAAGACAACAGCTGAATAAGTTCTATTTCTTCAGAAAACATTCTGAATATTTAAGGTTTCTTAGCCTGGCCTTTCCACTAAACTAAGTGTCACAGGATTTTTTTTAAATCAATTTGCTTCATCACATGAGCTGAAGCGTATCCTTTGATCTGTGAGTGAAATAATTGGTCACTAGATGGCGCCAAATTGCTGCTATAACCCACTGCACTGAACTTTGCCCCTATCTGCACAGTGGATTTGGACCAGCAAATATAATGAATGACTGCTGAAAATGATAGTGACAGTTTGAAAATTAGAAATTAAGTAGATATTAATAGATTTAGATATTTTTACCTAGACACTTTTACCTCAGTCTTCTAAATACATCTGATTCTGTCCCATGGATTGTAGGAGGTGAAGAGTTCAATGATCTGTTCAGTCTCTTCTATGAAACTAAAACAGTGGCCGTGTTAATTGGTTTTTAATAAAACATTATCAAGACGTGGTTGTTGATCAAAACTGAAGTGACAGTATTAGCATGTGATCCGGCAGAAGCCTGCAGGCAGGAGATGTTCGTTTCTTTTTTTTTCCTGGAAGAACAAGCTTTCCCAGACGTGTTCTGTAAAGTGACTAATTTAAGTTCCACATGTCATTTGGCAGCCAACATGTTTAAAACTTTGGATTTCCTAGAAACATTAAACTGGACTCTGTGGATGAATTTGTGTGTGTGATTGAGGACCACTTTCACTTTTAAACTTTTGGAGTCTGGCAATTTTACATAGTAATGACATTTTGACCAGTCCTCTCAAGCTATTCTGCTATTGGTTGGTTTTAGGGCTAAGGCGTCAATTGCGTTAGAGTTAGGCTTAGGGTGAGGAATGCATGGATAATGGTTGGGTTTAGGGATAGGGCATTAAAAGGGCTGAAAATGACTTATCAATGGAAGTCAATGGGAGTCCACACATGGTCATCACTACATATAGAGTGCTACGGTAGGGTGGGTGCTTAGTATAAGCAGAAAACAGGCTTCAGTTGAGTTACATTACATTTTCTTTTCAAGCTAAAATAAAAAAAAGCAGGGATCTTTTTTTGTGTTCATCCAAGAATATTTTTTTCTATTCTAAGCCCATGCTTAGAAATAAAGACTTACCTTAAACCACAGTTTAAGGGACAGTGTGTAAGATTTAGCCTCATCTAGTGGTGCACTAAATGAATTACAAACAACTAACAACAATGCTTGAAGGCCTTCTAACTTCACACACTTGAGCTCGTTACCAACGTGAATCTATTAAAATACCAGTGGAAACATCTGAAATAAAAATATTACTTGGTATTAATACATTTCCCCACACCATTTAAAAAAAAAAGTCTGAAAAAAAAAAACATTTACAATCTTTTGTTTTGTTAACAACGTAAGTTTTTTTGTTTTAATCTTTTGAATATTTTTTCCTGTTTAATAATGATTATTATCTCTTCTAACTCAATCAAATCGATCTTTCACTCGCTTACTGTGCTGCACATGCAAAATCCTTATTTAACATTTGCAGTTCATCAGTTCTTCATGCGTAGATCAAACCTAAATAGGGACATGTTTAAAGCCATATTTGGTTTTGGATGATTCTTAAATTACAAAATAATAATCACTATTTTTTATTTTTAGAATTCAGTAACAAGGATAACTGCTTGGAAACAGCAAATAAATAAAGTTCACATTAAGCCCTCATTGGATCTAAATGGCTCAGCCAATTCTGTCCTTTGCTAATTAATTCCTCTATTTTCTATGAACACTTACTTTTACTTTCAAACTTGTCAACACACCATTTTTAATGACAACAATTAAAAATCAGTGAAATCTACCCTTTAGTTAAATTTGACTGAACTCCACTTTCAGAAGATAATATTTAAAACCCTTTTTTCAATTGACTGTGGTTCCGATTTTGACTAAAATATGCTTTTGTTTGGCAAAAATAGTAGATAATAAACTGTAAAGTGCATCATTCCTATTAATACACATCTTTTACTATTTTGAAACTCCCTACCAGGATTGATACGCACACATCAGAGCTTCTTTAACAATAATTCTGATAAAAGTAATGAAATATCTATGACTGTGTCTGTCTCATTCACTGTTGCATCTCTGGTGAGCAGTTGTGGACAGGTCAGACAGCAGTCAGTTGG